TTTATAAAATATTTTTAATTTTTAAATTAAAAAATAAAAAACACAATAATTCAACGAAATTTCCTCAATTTTTATATTTAATAACGTCAAAATCGAAGTAATCTTAAAAATTTTCCTAATTTTTTTTAATTTATAGTATCAAAAACGAAGCAATTCTACGAAACTTCCTTCAGAAATAAAATTAAGTGCGAAGCTAACGGTCTCGTGCCAATATGTTTTATGATTTTTCGAATCCGTCTGTTTAAACTACTGCGCCTGTCACGAAAAAGTATATCGGGTCATACGAAGTGCAAACCTAAAGATCGAATGCTCCAAAATGCAACCCCTTTCAAGACCTCCTAACAACTCTGATGAAAATGTCTCTTGTACTGCGCATGCCACGGAAAATGCATCTTTGTAAATCCTTTTCAAATGTCCCACGCCTGGCATCGCTTTTGGAAAAGCTACAAGACCCTCGCGTTTTGCTCATTTGTAATAGTCACGCGAAACCACATCTGCACGTTCAAAAAAAACCAAACCCCTCAATTTTTTGCACTATTAACTTCGAAATGTGCTTTACACCACAACGGCATGTACTTTTTCGACATCCCAACTTCCATGATTAAATATTCAAAAAAACAGATATCCAAATAAATTACCCAAGTTTCATTAAATATAACACAAACAATAACATATTATTTTTACTTAAACATCTCCAAAAAGGAAAACAAATCCCCGTATTCCAGGCGACATTTTTTTTAAACTAATTGATTTCTGGAACACTATAGACTGCAGGGTACTGCAGCATTGCAATGATGCAGTAACGGGGAGTAACGTCATCCAAAGGCAAGTATCAGAATCGTTCCAGCCTTTCCTTTTTACCACGGTAAATATATAAAACATATGAGGTTTCTGCCTGGAGGCAGGAGTTGGTCTGAGGATGTCTGAGGACTGCCGCATCTGATTCACTTCTGGATCCATTCTGTTTGCCATTTTCCAAGGTTCTCTATGGTTCTCTATCATTCTGTTTAGCATTTGCAGCTGAGGGACCCATGAAGATTCATTGGGTGGAGGTGATGCTTGTGGTGGCATCTCCAAGTGGAAGTCTAGTCCTTTGGCTTCCAAACATTGACCTTGCTGGATTGCTGCAGAATGCTGGCATCGAATGAATGTTCAAGAGACACACATTCAAGAAACATGACACATCATGACGCGTAATTCCTTATATTACTTTCACATACTTTCGCACCCATAGAATTCCATGCCTGTTGAAAGGTCTTTCTACAAGCCACGCCAGTTGCAATCAATCGCCAGGACAAGATGCAGAGTTTCACTCGTGCGGCTGACTGATCCGTGCGCGTGGCCACAGCTGTGTTGGCAATCAAGACCTCGCCTGAATCGAGAAAAGATCGGCAGCTACAGTGTGCCATGCTGCTAAACTGGTCTAAACTCAACAACTTGCCCCACTTGAGGCTGGAGGAAAAAGACTGGGTGACTATCTATCTATCTATCTAATCTAATCTAATCTAATCTAATCTATCTATCTACATACATACATACATACATCCATGCATGCATACATACATACATATATATATATATGTGCGGCTGTCAAAACTCCTTGTTCATGAAAAGGACATCAACATAATTTGGGAAGGTCCCATCGCTAACCACAGTTTCATAGCAATTTTACCATCATTGCGCAATATTGATTTACAAGGGGTATCGCTAAGGCTAAACGCAGCTGAAGTAGATGTGATATTGTATTCGTAGTACTGTTCATACTTGTATGTACTACTAGCATTAATTGTGCCAAGATTTTAGGAGTACTAGAAGTGCTAGCAGCGCACTTACTAGTAAAAGTAGTACTAAGAATAAGGAAGTATTAGAAATATTTGCAAGGCTAGGAACACAATCCTGGCGTTAGTAGCAGGAATTCAAATAATAGTCGTAGTAGTGGTAGTAGCAGTAGTAGTAGTAGTAGCAGCAACAGTAATCAGTAGTAGCAGCAACAGTAATCAGTAGTAGTGGTGGTAGTATTGGTGATTGTAGTGGTAGAAGTAGTAAGTAGAAGTAGAAGTAGAAGTAGAAGTAAGAGTAGTAGTAGTAGTAGTAGTCGTGGTAGTCGTAGTAGTAGCAGTAGTACAATAGAAGACTTAGCAGTAGAAGTAGAAGTACAGGTACGAGTAGTTGGGGATCCTGTGCAATTGGGTGAACTTGGGTATCGCTTGGGTATCGCTAAGGCATCGCTATGGTATCGCTAAAACCGACCTGCTTTTTTTGCAGAATCAGGCGGTTGCATTATCATTTGCTTCTGAAACTATTCTTTTCCTTTTCCCGTCCTTTTCCTTTCCCTTTTCTGTTATTTTCCTTTCCTTCCCCTTTTTCTGTCCTTTTCCTTTCGTTTCCTTTTTTCGTTTTTCTTTCCCTTTCCTTTTCCTTTCTTTTCTCTTTCCTTTCTTTTCTCTTTCCTTTGCCTTTCTCTTTCCTTTGCCTTTCTGTTTCCTCTTCCTTTTCCTTTCCTGTTTCTTTTTCTGTTCCTGTCCTTTTCCTTTTCTTTTTCTTTTCATTTCCCTGTCCTGTTCCTTTCCTTTTCTTTCAACCCTGAGCCCAAGCCTATCATCAATGCGAGCACTTGACGAAATCAACACTCATGAAATATAGTTATAAACTATTGAATTCAACATGGGGTATCGCTATTTGGAAAGGTCCCATCGCTAACCTCAGTTTTTTGCACTTTCTGAAAACCAATGTCCAGCCAATACATATCTTAGTATCCGCGAGTTTTAACAGTTGCTCATATAGAATATACATGTATATAATTGTATATATATATATATATTAATGGCTTTGTTTGCTTCTGTGAGAAGTCAACTTGAGTCACCTACTGACATGTGCTGGTTGGCTGGCTCCTGTCTTGCCAGGCTTGGAAGTTATTTAGAGAATCCAAAAAGAGTCCAAGCCAGCCAAGTGACCATCCTCAGCCAAAAAGAAGCATAGACTTTCCACCAAAGCAGGAATGCACTCGGGTATGTACCTAAGCTGTGGAGATCCACTCGGCTCCAAGATGCTCCGAGTGTGTCGGATATGGACGGATATGCTTCGAACCTGCTCCGAGCCCCCACCAACATGGCAGGACAAACGAAACATTAGAGAAGTGGACGAAGAAGCAATAAGAAGCATACCAAAAAGCACCCAGAACACACCCAAAAACAATCAAACAATATCGTCCCCTTGTTGGTGCGTCCTTCACACCTCTGGTCCATGATGAAATTGTTGAACTGTTACTGTTATGACGTGTTCTCTTAAAAGTTGGATGCTCAGGCGGGTGCACAATCTCAGAGCCGATGATGAACTTGAAGCTCTTCGGCAGTAGGCCAGACCTGTGAGATGAGATGGCCCTAGCATAGAGGTCCAATGACAAACCTTCGTCCACTTGATTCTATGGAATCCCACACACTCAGGAATTTGCGCAACTCCAACTTAGCCAACTCCCCTCACTGGGCCAATGCCTTTCTGCTGCTGCTTGACCCCATTCCAAGTGGGCGGCTGACAAAGAGCCACCCATCAGGAGGCCTGAGCAGGAACCAGCATGAGTTGCACTAATATTTGAGAGTGAACATTGTGCTGAATTGTTACAAGCAGCTGTAGAAGGAGTGCTATGATGACAAGTCTTTAAGAAACTGGACGTCCACCAACACATCTAAAGGGCCTGCAACGAACCCCACTAGATAAACGATATTTCAATGATATCTATATATTTCTATATATTTCCATGAGTACAAACAACAGTTTGTTTTTAGTGACCAAAATTTAGCCAAGGCTCGGTCTGTGAATGTTGAAGCATTCCTGAACAAGGCGTTATTGCAAGTCATGGCATGTCATGGCCAGGCTCTGATATCGCAGGGTGTCATGGCACGAAGGTGGGAAAGTGGTATCTTGCCTGCCCAGTGCACCACAACCTGTCACACAAGCCAACCTCAAACTTTTCAATTGACAAAAGAGCAATTACGTTGCTGCGTCATGTTGCGTCCATATTCATTCTTTTCCAAGCTGCAAGAAATCCAAGATTGGGCATTGTGATGCAGTTGTCATAGACTGTGCTAAGTCACTGCAGTTGCGAAAAGTTGCAAAAAGTCTTGAAAGCATCTTCTTTCAAAAAAGGCAATTCTCAGAGAAATTAAGCCAAGACTCTTTTGCAGCAATGGCATCTCCTCCTCATTCCCGTCGGTTGCAATACTGTGAGCTCCTGACACTATGCGACTGTTTTTATTTTAGATGGAAACTAAAATTGCTATGGTTGTCTCTGTGCGTGTGTCTTCAAATTTCCAAACTTCTTTTGCAAACAGCTGTACAGGGCAGGATGGCCCAGCACAGCAGCTGTGTTGGCCTTGACCCAGGAATGTCTGCAAATGTCTGCAGGAAGAACGTCAAATGCAGGTCACTGATGGTCACTATATGTACCGTAACATAGTAGTTGCATCATGCATCATGATGCATCATGATGCATAATAATGCATCATACTGCATCATAATGCATCATCATGCATCAGGGATGTCATCAATCAATGTTCCAAATACTTGTCAAAAATTCGTTTTTTATTTGAAAAAAACAATACTCACTCTTTGTCGTGAGTTTACATGAGTTTACTATCTGTGGGCGATATTTTGATATCAAAACCCGCAAGAAGCAGGTGAGGGCTACCATGGGCCTCGGAGGCTGAGGTTCGGATCATTTAATGACTTGGTGATCTTATATGTTTCATCATGAATCATCAATTTTCAGAGAATTTTCATGGATTTTCAGGGGGTCGCTTTGAGGGTGGAAATTGATTTGGCCGAAAGCGGCCACTTGCGGCCACTCGCTTGGAAGCATATGGAGCGGCCACTTAGGGCCATTTGCAGCCACTCGCTTGCAATTTTCTGGAGTGGCCACTTGCGGCCACTTGCTTGGAATTGGCTGGAGCGGCCACTTGCGGCCACTCGCGGCCACTTGTGGCCACTCGAGTGGCTGCAAGCGGCTGCAAGTGGCTGCGAATGGCCGCAGGTGGCTTCTAGAGTGAGTGGCTGTGAGTGGCTGCAAGTGGCTGCAAGTGGCTGCGTGCTGGTAGAAATAGAAGGTAGAATGGTCATCTTGAAAAAATAGGTTTTGCTGGAAAAGTGCTAGCCAGAGGTGAAACGACATGAAGACGGTAACGCATAAAATGCCAGAGCGAATGCAAGGCCAAAGGTGAAACAAAAGGAAGAAAGTAACGAATGAAAGGCAAGAGGTGAAACGAAAGGAAGAAAGTAACAAATGAAAGGCAGGAGGTGAGACGAAAGGAAGAAAGCAACGAATGAAAACATGTGGCAAACCATATGCCACCCATGTCTTCCATAGTGTGGGGAAGATCTCGGGGCATAGCATCAATGGTGGTAGAACGGTAGAAAATTGCAAGAAGATCTTGGAGAATAGCTCCAATGATGGTGCAAAGTTGGAGTCGAAGGGAAGAAGTTTGGGCGTAGCAAAATGATGGTAGAATGTTGGAAATGGAAAAGATATCCCAGAGCGTAGCATCAATTATAGTAGAAAATCGAAGAGAAGATCTAAGAGCGTAGCAACAACTCTGCTGGAAACTTGAAGGGTAGCATGAATCAGGGTAGAATGTGAGAAAATCCAAGAGAAGATCTTAAACTGTAGAATCACTCATGGTAGAATGTTTGGAGTATAGCATCAATGATGATGAAATGTTTGAAAGTTGATTAGATCTTAGAGCGTGGCATGTGAGAAAATACAAGATAAAACCTTGGCACGTAGCGTCAATGACAATAGAAAGTTGAAGAGAAGATCCAAGAACGTAGCATCAATGATGTCACTGTAGAAAATTGAAAAGAGGATCGTGGAGCTAAGGGTCAGTGATGTTGGACACTTGAAAAGACAATCTTAGAGCGCAGCGCTGATGATGTCAGAAAATGGCACAGAAGATCTTAGAACGTCGCGTCAACGATGCTGGAAAATTGAAGAGAAGATCTTGGTGCGGAGCATCACTGATGTTTAAGACTTGAAGAAAAGATCTTGGAACGTAGCTTCAAGTATGTTTGAAGAGAATATCTCGTAACATCAAACATGTTTGAAAATTGAAGAGCAGTTCTTAGAGCGTAGCATCAATGATGGTACAATGGGAGAAAAACGAACAGAAAATCGAAAAGCATAGCATCAATGCGGGTAGAATGTGAGAACAACCAAAAGAAGATCTTAGAGTGCAGCATTGATGATGTCTGAAAAGTGAAGAGAAGATCTGAAAGCGTAGCATCAACAATGTTGGAAAACCATGGAAAATAGAGGAGAAGATCTTTGAGTGTAGAATCGCTGATGTTGGAAACTTGAAGAGAAAATCTTTGAGCGTACGTAGCGTCAATGATAGTAGAAAATTGAAGATCAGTTGCGTCAATGATGTTTGGAGATTGAAGAGAACATCTTAGAGCGTAGCATTCAATGATGGTAGAAGTTAGAAGCTTGGAAGAATGATGCACAGATCTTGGAGCGTAGCATCAATGATGCTAGAATATTTGAAAGTTGGGTAGATCTTAGAGCGTAGCAGCAACATGCAGCAACCATGTTAGAAGAGTAAGGAGAAGCTGTTGGGGAGTAGCGTCAATGCATTCTATGTAAAAAATGTAGAAGGTCTCAGAGCATATCAGAGCGTAGCATCAATAATGTTGGAAACTCTTATCCCCGGTTCGTTACTTCTTTCCTTTCGTTTAACGCTTCCCTTCCATTCGCTACGGCGTTCCTTTCGCTTCAACTCTTCCCGTCCATTTGATACTTGCTTTCTTTCCTTTCAACGCTTCCATCCCGTTCATGTACTTCTTCCTTTCGTTTCAAGCCGTTCATGTGGTTACGTCCTTCCAGTCGTGTCAATTCCTATACAATCCTGCCGGTTACATGTTTGTTTTATTGCAACTTGTCTATTTCGTTTGTTGCTTCCTTCCTTTGGTTTGTTACTTCCTTCCTTTGGTTTCAATACTCCCCCCGTTAGTTCCTTCCTTCCTTTCGTTTCAACTCCTTCCTTCCGTTTGCTGTCAAGTCATTTCGTTACGTCCGTCCTTACGTTTCACCTCGTTTATAAACCCCATTCGTTACTTCTTCCCTTTCGTTTCACCTCTTACAGTCTCTTTGTTACTGTAATTCTTTCATTGCAACTCTTTCCTTTCATTCGTTATACTTCCTTCCTTTCGATTCAATTCTTTCCTTTCATCCATTGCTGTCTTCCTTTCGTTTCAACTCTCTCCTTTCATTCGTTACTTTCTTCCTTTCGTTTCACCTCTTGCCTTTCATTTGTTACTTTCTTCCTTTCGTTTCACCTTTGGCCTTTCATTCGTTCTGGCCTTTTATGCGTTACTGTCTTCATGTCGTTTCACCTCTAGCTTCGTACTTGTTGCTGTCTTCCTTTCGTTGCAACTCTCTCCTGCCATCCGTTCTGGCCTTTTGTTCGTTATTGTTTTCCTTTCGCTTCACGTTACTGTTCTCCTTTCCTTTCACCTTTGGCCTTTCATGTGCTACTTTCTGTCTTTCGTTTCACCTCTGGCCTGTCATTCGTTCCTTCCTTCCTTTCGTTTCAACTCTTCCCTTCATTCGTTATGGCTTTTGATGCGTTACTTTTTTCCTTTCCTTTCGCCTCTGGCTTTTTATGCACTACTGTCTTCCTTTCGTTTCACCTCTGGCCTTTCATTCGTTCCTTCCTTCCTTTCGTTTCAACTCTTCCCTTTCATTCGTTATTTTCTGCCTTTCGATGCAACTTTAAGATCCCGTTCCAAGGCAAACTTGAAAAACATGCGATCCGCGGAAAAACTGTCTTTTTCATATGTTTTTTCAAGTTTTCAGCAGGGGAGCAATCCGGACTGGCATTTGCAATTTGCGGCCACTTGTGGCCACTTGCAGCCCCGTGGCCACTTGCGGCCCCGCGAGTGGCTGCAAGTGGCTGCAAGGTGCTGCAAGTGGTCGTAGTAAGACCACTTGCTCTAGCAGCCCCTGCCGTTGCAAGGCAAATTTTAAAAAAATGCGATTTGCAGGACAACTGTTTTTTTTTTTCAAGTTTTGAGGAGTGTACAGTAGCACTCCGGACTGCCACTTGCGGCCACTTGAGTGGCTGCAAGTGGCTGCCGGGCACTTGCTCTAGAGACCCCTTGTGGCCACTTGCTCTAGCAGCCCCCTGCGGCCACTCGCGGCCACTCGAGTGGCTGCAAGTGGCTGCTTTTTTGAAATTCAAATACCGCGTCAATGTGGATTTTCAATTATTATCCATCCAATTAAAAATGGGGTACTCCCATGTATGGACACCGTACATAGGTTTGATGTCTTTTCTGCCAGGGCGCCAGCAAACCGCAACCAGCACCAAGCTCGAGGACACTAGAACCTTTCAGAGACTCTGCGCGCTGCAGAAGGATGGGCAAGGCTGCCCAAACCTGAGTTTTTCAATTTTTTTCAACTTTCTCTATTTCGGATTATTATCGTAGGTGTTCTTGTTGCACTTCATCCAGACTTGTGAACAAACAGCTCAAAGCTGACAACGCGCATGCCGTCACAATGTCACCCATCTGAGGTCCTCGCTCCCCGCCATGTGATAGCACCTTGGCTGAACCAGAGTTGCACGGACCGATACTACGGCACACACCTGGAGCCACTACACTACTCTCCGACATGAAACAAAATGCAGTCAGGAAACCTGACAAACCCATAGGCCAGCCATACAGCCTATGATCTTGAACGGATCTTGCGGTGGGTGTGGCTCAGTATGTTGCACTTGAAACCACGTCATGCAAATGTCCCCAATCCCAGTAGAGTTTTGAGAGCGTTGTGCTACCTACAGGAGATCTTTAAAATTGATGGATGTCCAAACAATACTGACCAGCAAATACCAGCAATACGCACTTGCTTAGTCCTCAAAAATTCGAGACTGCGCATGTTCAACCATGGCACCTCACCAACAAATGGCGTTGTTCACCTAGAGCTGGAAGCTCGACTCCAACAGGTAGGCCGATTTTAAATTCTCGCCTGGGATCCAAAATGGTCCATGATCCATTGACATCACGGTTTATATAATACATAATTAATAATAATTATAATATACGGTAATATCATGTAATATCTATAATATTCTATTATGCTTCAGTACGGGTTAATATCTTCCAGTAGTTCAGCTCCATTCAACTGCTGGTCATGAAATAGCGATGACAGTCCTGCAAGCACATCATGTTCAGCAGAATTTCATCAAATTCAAGCGAGCCACTCCTCGTACTCATCTTCCGCAAACAGCATCACAGAAGCTAATGCTTGACTTGCTTTCACTCTATACGTTCACTGTCCACCATTGTTCGACTTGTGGTCTGTGATCGCAAAACGGAGCATCCTCGAATCCCATTCCCAAGTATTCTTTGTTACACAGTTTGAATCCTTTCAGCTCCTCTGGAAACTTGGCCTACGGCACATATTGCCTGCAAGGTTTTCTGCTATGAACTCTGCCAAGACCGGAAAACCGACCATTGAAACATTTTCCCTTCAAACATCTTCAAACAGTCTTTGCTGATATTGGACGATCAAACAATACTAGTAGATGGCCAATGATGACCAACTGCAAAACACAAGACAACTATGGACATATTTAATGACATATACATATATATATATATATTCCATGATTTTACATGACATATATTCTGCGTTAAATCACAGTATATTATATTATATATATATTATACTATTATAATATATTATAATCTGTTATACGTATTTATGCGTGTAGTGTCTTCCTTTTCCAGACTTGATGCCCAATGATGGTCCTATCAGGTCCCTGAAACGTCTGCGGCAAATGTAATGCAAATGTGTCAATCTCACCCCGTATCGCGGTTGGAATCGGTGGGATAGAATTCAACTCTCTGGGAATCTCGATACGGCTCGCAGTGGCTTGCAGGTCAAGCTGGTGGAGCTCTTTCAAATGTCAAGGCGACCAAGAATCTTCAAAAGATTTCAAAAGGACTTTGCCTTTGCCAAGAAGTTCTTCAGTACAAATCGCATCAAATATATTCAAGGCATTCGTCAGCGGTCAGCGCAAGAGTTGTGCCACTTGCAGTTGCCCAGCACCACCTCCACAGAGCTGTGCCGGTGTTTTGCCCCATTTGTTCCTGGCATATCGATTGGCCCCTTTTGCCAGCAAGAACTGCGCCGTGCTGGGATAGCCGTTGTAAGCACAAAATGCCAAGGGGGTGATGAACCCCTCCTTGCTGGCCATGTTGGGATCTGCACCAGATTTTAACAAGAAATTGGCATTGTCTTGGCTTGCCTGACTAAAGGCCTCGGCCTGTGCAGGCACACCCCACTGGTTTTTCTGGAACCTCAGCAAATTGAGCAACGGGGTGAAGCCTTCGAAATCGTAGGTGTTCAAGTTCACCTTGGCTTCCACTAAAACCTGCAAAACACCCAGCAGACTTCGCTGCCTTGCTGTCCACTGGTCCACGGTGCTGACGGATTGGGGTGTAGCGACCGGCGTCTGTGAAGGGTTCAGGTGCATGGTAAATTGAGTGGCCAAATTCAAGGGATCTTGCCCATAGTCATCTTTGCTGTTGGGATCAGCGCTGTGTGCAAACAAGATCCGTGCAACCTCCGGATGCGTGTTCCAGCAAGCAATTGCAAAGGGTGTCTTCCCTTTCTCTCCTGGCTGGTTCACCACAGACCCAGAGCCACCTTGCAGCAGGGAACTGGCTGCGGTTGAAGAACCCACACTGGCTGCATACCACAATGCAGTGTTGCCAGCTTGGTCTACCATGGCGACATTCGCCCCATGTTGCAACAGTACATTGCAATCCCTCCCAGACAAAGCTGCAACCATCAGTGGCGTCTTCCCATTTTGATCCTGGTGATTCACATCTGCGCCTTTGTCGAGCAACATACTGAGGAGAGACTGATCGCCACTTCCCTGGATAGCGATAAAAAGTGCCGTCTGGCCGGAATTGTCCTCCTCATTGACATTTGTGAATGGATTGTCCAGCAAAGCAGTTGCAATTGGCAGGCAGTCGTTCTGCACTGCTGAATCGAGAGCAGTCCTTCCTTGATTGTCTTTGTGGTCAACAGGAAGTCCTTTTTCCAGTAAGTCTTCCGCCGCATTGCTCATGCATTTTACGCAGGCAATCTGCAGCGCATTCTCTCCTGTTGTGGTTTCAACCCTTATGTCTGCACCATGCGAAATAAACTCTGAAGCCAAAGAGTCACAGCCCGCTGCCAAGGCACGCAAGAGTGGTGTGAAGCCTTGACCATCCCTGGTGTTGATGTATGCTCCAGCCGTCATCAAGACCTTCACCTCAGACTGCGAACACCTCTTTGCCGCGCAAGTGATGGGAGTTTCACCGTTCCAGTTCGCGTTGGCATTTCCATTGCCAAGCTTCAATAAGACCATCAAGAGCCCAGTGGTGCCTGTTTCACCTTGTGGATTTTGCTGATTCCATGCGTTTCCCGGATTCCATGATGGCTGTTGACAAGCCACATCCACCATCGTCCTGTCTGAAACAATTTCACCGGCCCACAGCAGCACCTCCACCATATCTGAGCGCTGGTGGATGGCATAGTCCAGTGGAGTTTGGTATGTAGAGCACCCCCCCTGGAGACTGCCTTGATAACGACGTGCCACTTCTTGAACTATCCTCACTTTGTTGTCCTCCATTGCGTGGCATAGTACGGTGTGCCAGCTGACAAGCTCATGGTCATTGTCACCATTGAGGTCATTGGACACTTGTCGCCTGTAGCGGTCCAACTCATTGCCAAATCCGAAATCCATGAATTCATCCCACAATGCCGTGCTTGCGGTACTCGCGGTGCCAGAAAAGACTTTGAAACTAGAAAGTTTAGAAAGCCTCACCGTTGCCACTGAAACAAGGCACACAAGAACACCAATTACGAGCAACAGCAAAGCTCTGCTGAAGGATGGTTTGGTCCACTGCTCTTTGTGCAGGCCTTCACTGTCTAACTGGTCTTCCAAGTGCAACATCTTCTCGCTTTCATCCGAAGGCACAATGAGAGCCATCTTGCACTGCGAAAGAAGGCAGGCCAATCTGGGCCAATCTGCTCTGACTGATGCGAGCCTAGACTGCAAATTCAGTCCGAAACATGTGGAACACGCATGGTTGAGCATCAGGATGTGCCATTGGGGGCCCAGAAAAGTGATTCAACTTGCTCTCCTTCGTATTCCAAAGAACAGGGAAGAGAACATAAGAGCACTCAAATCAAGCACAGCAAACAGGTGCAGGAAATGTCAGCACATGCTTCATGCCATCTCATTTTAGCGACTTGCTTACGCTTGGCTGCTAGGGAGTCTGGCCAAGAACTTTCTGGCCGAATGCAAATGTCAACACCCCACAACTATATAAGCACAGCTAAGGGGTGAGGGCATCCTCTTGGCTTCTGGTCCAGCCATGAAGTGGCCCCGGCGACACAGCACCATATGCACAATCGCCATGCACAGGTCTATTGCCCTACGAAACTAATCCAATCCTTGTGCTTGCTCAGATGAGTTCAAATGTCAAGCACCCTGCCAATCCATACCAATCCTGCATGAGAGACACGCACAGCTTTCATTATGTTCTTCATAGTCTTCACATCCGTAACAGATCATGAAACGGAGGTGCCAAAAATCTTTGTGCTACTTCTTTTCCCGAGCTGCGGACTACACAGGACAGCGTCTTTGAATTCCAGGCTGTTGTGGCTTGGCAGGTTTGGAGTCGAGTTGTAGCGCAGCCTGAGGTAATCACAGACAGGAAAAAATGCGCTGCGAAGCAACATGTTCTTCCAAGATCTTCCAAGCAAATCAAGCGACAAAGAAATGATCTTACAATTTACTACAACAGATCAAAAGACTCTCCTTTATCGTTGGTTTATCAATTCAGAAACTATGTTGGAACATGTGGAATTTGATGTTCTTCTCACAACCATCTGGCAACCAGGTGCGGACATTTTCACAAACAGCTGCATACTATTTTCTTATTGCTTTCATTGTTCATGTGCATCTTCCTGCTCCTGGTAATTCTTATCTGCTCCAACTTTCTTTATGCTCCGATGATTTTCTACTTGCCGCCAACTTGTGTGCAGGTTTCAACCTCACACATGACGACACGAATGGCACAGCAATGAGGCCACTCCACAAAGCAAAGTTGAGAGTGGTCAACAGCGATTTATGATATTCACGTCGCTTCGCGACGGCAACCGCCCGCACCGCATCGTTGGGCAGCCGCTCGTAACTGCCAATGATATCGGCCATTGAGACCAAAAACATCCGAAAGTACTGATTGTCGGAAAAAAAAACGCGAAGAATTTGATAGCCATGTATAGCGGACCAACGCAGTTCAAAAAATAACGAAAAACATGAAAAAACGGCGAAATTGCTGTTATTTACAGTGTTTTTGCGCGGTGAGAAGCAGAAACCACTGCAAATACCATGGTTTTTGAGGGTCAGGTGGCCAAAAACACTGTAATTTACAGTGTTTTTTTAAACCAACGTCAAAAAACACTGGTATTTACGATGTTTTCATTCACACCGTAACATAAAACAGTGTAATTTACGAGGTTTTTGGAAGTTTTGAAGCTAGCCGTCAAGCATGCAGAAAACAGAAAAACACTGTAAAAACCAGTGTTTCTGCTATCACAAAACGACGAAAATCAGTCCGAAAACGGGTCCAAAAACTCAAAAATCCGCCTCCGGGCCCGGCCACCTGCGGAACCGCAAAAACAGATGTTGCAAACCAAAAAATTGAGGTCAAAAAGTTGAAAAACACGGTTTTTTTTCACTTTTCGCTTGCCGATTTTGGACGGGCGCGTTCACGAACAGGTGTCTTCCGTACTGTTTTTTACAGTGTTTTTTGAAGGCGAGCGTCACGACCTATCAAAAACAGGAGGTTTTGGCCGAAAAATGGGACCCCCCCCCCAGGTAAACCTGTAACCTTTTACGAGTGCCATCCGGAAGATCACGCCCCAGCACCTTCGGCGGATTTTATGGATCAAAGATTTAGTCCCAGCCCGTAACAGCTGCGCCACAAGGCACACCTGTCGCAAACTATCAAACACACTTTTTGGAATCGGAAACTGTGTTCTTTTTCGATCTTTTTCGCTTGTTTGAAAGCAGCTGGAAATTGTGATCCTGCGCCCATGCCCTGCTAATTTTCAACTGAGTGAACTGTCAAACCAGTTCCTCCTCGAGCTTGACACCTTGACCTCAACTTGACCTCTAGACCTTTGTTTCCGTTCACAAGCAATGCCTTCCTCTGTGCCAATGGCATGCCCCTCTGTGCCTGTTTGCTCATCTCCAGAGCAGCATGCCTCAGACACACTGAACTTGAACCAAACCCAAACCTACCAAAACCATTTTAGAGGAAACGAATCAAGAGAAGGGATATGTTGGATATGTATGCCCAAAAAAGAACTCCCCTCCTGGTCCAGAGTTTGTGCACAAATTTCTGTGCACCGTGGGCCGCACGGTTGCAGTTCATTCCCCCAATTGCAGTTGCTCTGGTGTGACGAGCCGGGGCTCTTGCTTTGCTGCTTGCTGGATCAACATGGCTCCACCTATCACCAGTGCCAGCTATCACAGAGAAAACATATTGAATTAGACTCTTGAACCCAAGGGTAAGACATTTTTGCTGGCCTCCTGCGACAACTGCATACCTTGAGCGACCAGAAGGGTCCCAGGGTGCCCCTGACTTTTAGAACAGGCAGACTGCAAAAATTGGAAGCATGGAGTGTCCAAAGAAATGCGGCATGAATTAATTTTTTTAATCTTGGCAGGGCGTGAAAGTGCCAAAGCAGACCCTTTGTCTAATTGGTCTTCATAATTATCATTAAGGATCCAAGTGCTGCAATTGCGCGATGAAATGCCCAACCCTTCCTCATGACAATAGTATTGAATTTTCAGCTGTCGCGACTTGTCCAGGGGCGCTGTCTTTTAATCGACATGGCAAATTGATGTCGGTTTGCTACTTTGCCATAAGTTTAAAGGTTCAAAGTCAAGCATAGTGCAACCTTGCCACAAGCTGCACAAGTATGTGCTCAGCATGGACAATCCAGCCACCTGTCTTGGAAAAGAAACAAGAAAACTGAGATCCGCTGAGATCCATGGAGCTCTAAGTTCTGGGGCAACAAAACTTTCTACTAGTAGATTTATATAGATTTATATTATATAAATCAAAGACATGCACGTCGCGCACCGTCGCTAGCAAGAAAAATGCCAAGCCCGAGAAGAAGGATGCTCCATACGACCTAGTTCGAAGGCTTTGGGCCAGTGGTGAAACAACATCTCTTGTTGATCTCTGCAAGAAGATGAGATGGTCCTCATTGGTATATGCGCATTGTTTGCCACCATAGGGATGTGCTCAGTTTCTCAAGGACTGCTTCTTTGCTTAAGAGTACCACTGAGACATACTGAGACTCCAACACTATCAAGCAGTACATGTTGTACATGAAGAAACCTCAAATGGCAGTTGATTTTGTATATTTTGTGCATAAGATGGCCTTGGGGAGATGAATGGCTGATCTCCGAGCTAAGAAACCAAAAGCACCAATGAGACCCATGGTCAGATTGACAACCTGAGCTGCAAGGGAAGTTTAGCACTTGCATAGCATTTTGGAACAACATGGAACAACCAAAGATTCCAACTACAAAAGATTCTGTTAAATAGCTAAATCACACATGCATGATTGGTTGACTCAGACAAACGGGATTCGGTACCTGCAATCACACTCATGCGCAAGTTTCATTTGTGACAATTCAGATTGTCGATTGATGTCGATTGTCAACAGTTGCTGCTTCGTTCTGCATCATGTTGCGTGTTCATGGTAAGGTCCTGGCATACTGCATTATAAGTCGGAAAACCATTAAGTAGAGAGACTCGTCACGCGCACCAACTGAGAATAGGACCTTGGCTTGCACAAAAACACATCAAGCAACAATGCAATCTCGATCATCAGATTGATGCTAAGCAAGGACAATCCAAGCATGTCTGACGCAAGACCGAGTTCAGGTGCGTTGTAAAACGTCATTCTGGATGCAAAGTCTTTGCCTCAGTGTTGCGTGCATTTCTGCTGCAAAACAACCGACATGGATGGACCAATGGTAATGAAAGTAAATGCACTCAGTTTATCAATGTATCAATGAGTCAGCAAAGGTGTTCGGTAAGGCATTGCATCTGCAATCTATGATCTATGCACCGTTGCTTCGCGCTAGATGCTTGACCACAAGGTATGAGAAATATAATTTTTGATATTCCATTGTAGCACAAGGTATATAGATATGGGATCATGCTTTGATCCATTTTGATCCTACAGAATTGCCGCATTGCCCAATCCTCCATGCCTCGGACCTCTGCAAGCATGTTTGTTCGGCACCCGCCAATTTGAATAATTTGTCATGTGGGTGTTGTTCAAAATTATGGTACCCCAAAACTGCCTTTACGGCGCCCTTTCGCGAACCTTTCGCGCCCCAGCAGAATCGGGACAGGGAATTATGATCATGTTTTCGTGTGCATATTTCGAAATAAAGGCTTACAGGCGGATTGTATTAAAACAAGGAAGTGAACGCATTTGCCTAAGTCGTTTTACAGATTGCCCGACAACGGAAACACAAGTTGAAAAGACTTTGAAGGGTTTTTGATGGTTTTTGCAGTGGCAACATTGCAAGACAAACTAGACCATTTTGGGCCAAGGTGGGATCCTGGCAGACTCGCCTTTCGCCAACCTTCCGCGAACCTTTCGCGGATTTCTCGCCTATAAAATGATTTTTAAGAGGGGATCGGAAGGTGTGTCAGTTCCAATACTAAAACCCATTCCTATCTGAGAAAAACTCGCAAAAAATTGCTCAATGGTTGTATAACTGCCAAGCATGAATACAATATCACATAATTACATCTAGTCTAATAGGTGTATTCAGACCTTTCGCGAACCTTTCGCCGCCCTTTCGCAGTCTTTCGCCACTGAAGCAAAAATACACATCCATATCTGCAGATGTCACTCGGATACTAAATGTCTTGCGTGGGTTTTAGAACGACTCCCATGTAAATCATGTAAGCTTGAACAACGCCTCTGCTGCTTATTTGTAGTTTTCATCCTCATGATTGAAAAAACATGAAAAACACCATACGGATCCATACGCTCGTAGGTGCCAAATGTGGTACAAAAAGGCCTCTTTCATGTACGTGACATGGATTGGGTTCCTCAAAAAGAAATGCTGCAAGTCCAAGCTGCCGGATTGCCAGGCAGACCAAAAACTTCTACGAATATCCTGCAGCGCCAAACAATGCCAAACATAGATGAAACACGATGAAACAACAGCATGGATTCACATCATGAATGACCTGCACCTCAGTAAACCATGTGCAAACCAGAAGTGATGCTAGAACAAGAACGACATAGAAAGGCAAACCAACCTTTGGTGGTGGACACCGATTCTTAGCCTCTAAGCCAAGACCTGCGATCTGGGGTGAAGACTCATCACTATATTGACATAAATGACATAAATATGTATATATATATATCTTAAAATATTAATTAACAGTATAACATCCAGACACATGTGTACATACATACAAATATACGTATTTTTCTAGAATCTAGAATGTGATTCCGACTGATTTCGAGTTCTCCGAGCGTTCCCTCTTCTATGCCACTGTGATGTCACTCCTTGACACCATAGGAAGACCAAATGCCAACTTCACGTCGACCTTCGGAAAGCACACGGTCTCGATGATCTTGGACCTTGGATGTGCTTGCTGAGCATACGAAACAAACATCGGACCATGGATGGCCATGGGGCTGACATCCAATCTGACTCCGTTGACCATCCGCCATCCATCTCCCATCCGTCGGCCATCTGGCTTTGGCCAAGGCACTCTCTTGACTTCAGCCCTGGCCATCTGCACCTGCAGGCAGCTACCTCTGGATGTCTACTGTGGTTCCTCAAATGCAACCTTAAGTAAAACACAGACACGCATACAACAAATATCAACAAATCAAATGCATCAACAGGTGTCGCAAATGTCGCTAAGTAAATGCTAAGTAAATGATACCCTCAATCGCCCATGTACTCTTTCAGTGCAATGTAAGTCTTCATCTTGCTTTCTAGGTCTCCTATTCTTTGAAACTTTTGCACGGGGTTCGATCTGGATTCACAAGGTATCGGTCTAAGATCCAAAAGGCATTCAGAACGTCTTTTCACACATGGCATGTTTACAGTATGTCTTCTGTCGTGTCTGTCATCTTTGAACTTCCAAACTTGCAATCTCCGTGACTCACCGAACTTGCTGCAGCTTGCCTTGTCGTAAGCTTTCTGACACGCATCATTGCATTCGAAGAAACCGCTCTGGGAATAATACAACGCTTCAGCTTTCCTGGACCAATATTTCGATTGAGCAAGATCATTCCATCATCACCTGTCATTGATATCATGATATGGTATGTGGGTTTGTCAAATAGGCTTTCCCATATTCCACTGGTTTATGAACATGGCAATTCGCTGCTGATCTTCTTTACTGACTCTTTCTCTTCTCTGATCTTCTTTCTTCTGACTCTCTCTTCTCTGACTCTTTCCACCTCTGCTTTTCCATCTTGTCGAAAATGTGACTTCTAAACTTCCTACAATATATATATATACATATAAAAATAATTATGTATATATATAATTATATATTTCAAAATATACAATTATATATATATATAATCTAGAAAAAGGTGGATAAAGACCAGCCATGGTTCTCCAGCTCTACTTCAGCTTGTTGCCCCAGCTCTCGGCTGTCGATGAGCTCAGCCTCCTGGAGCAAATGGTTGTACCTTGCGCACGTCAGCACGTCACCCGGTCACAGCAACGAATGAAAACATCATCATCATCATCATCATCATCATCATCATCACCCTCACCCTCACCCTCACCATCACCACCATCACCATCCTCATCATCCTCATCATCCTCATCATCCTCATCATCCTCATCATGATCATGATCATCATCATCATCATCATCACCCTCACCCTCACCACCATCACCACCATCACCATCCTCATCATCCTCATCATCCTCATGATCATGATCATGATCATCATCATCATCATCATCACCCTCACCCTCACCATCACCACCATCACCACCATCACATCACCATCCTCATCATCCTCATCATCCTCATCATCCTCATCATCCTCATCATGATCATGATCATGATCATCATCATCATCACCCTCACCCTCACCATCACCACCATCACCACCATCACCATCCTCATCATCCTCATCATCCTCATCATCCTCATCATCCTCATCATCCTCATCATCCTCATCATCCTCATCATGATCATGATCATCATCATCATCATCATCACCCTCACCCTCACCATCACCACCATCACCACCATCATCCTCATCATCCTCATCATCCTCATCATCTCATCATGATCATGATCATGATCATCATCATCATCATCATCACCCTCACCCTCACCATCACCACCATCACCACCATCACCATCCTCATCATCCTCATCATCTCATCCATCATGATCATGATCATGATCATGATCATCATCATCATCATCATCATCATCACCCTCACCATCACCACCATCACCACCATCACCATCCTCATCATCCTCATCATCCTCATCATCCTCATCATGATCATGATCATGATCATGATCATCATCATCATCATCACCCTCACCCTCACCATCACCACCATCACCACCATCACCATCCTCATCATCCTCATCATCCTCATCATCCTCATCATCCGCATCATCCTCATCATGATCATGATCATCATCATCATCATCACCCTCACCCTCACCACCATCACCACCATCACCATCCTCATCATCCTCATCATCCTCATCATCCTCATCATGATCATGATCATGATCATGATCATGATCATCATCATCATCACCATCATCACCCTCACCATCACCACCATCACCACCATCACCACCATCACCATCCTCATCATCCTCATCATCCTCATCATCCTCATCATGATCATGATCATGATCATCATCATCATCATCATCACCCTCACCCTCACCATCACCACCATCACCACCATCACCACCATCACCACCATCACCACCATCACCATCCTCATCATCCTCATCATCCTCATCATGATCATGATCATGATCATGATCATCATCATGATCATCATCATCATCATCATCACCCTCACCATCACCACCATCACCACCATCACCATCCTCATCATCCTCATCATCCGCATCATGATCATGATCATGATCATGATCATCATCATCATCATCACCCTCACCCTCACCATCACCACCATCACCACCATCACCACCATCACCACCCTCATCATCCTCATCATCCTCATCATCCTCATCATCCTCATCACCCTCATCATCCTCATCATCCTCATCATCCTCATCATGATCATGATCATGATCATGATCATGATCATCATCATCATCACCCTCACCCTCACCATCACCACCATCACCACCATCACCATCCTCATCATCCTCATCATCCTCATCCTCATCATCCTGATCATGATCATGATCATCATCATCATCATCACCCTCACCCTCACCATCACCACCATCACCACCGTCACCATCCTCATCACCCTCATCACCCTCATCATCCTCATCATGATCATGATCATGATCATGATCATGATCATGATCATGATCACCATCATCATCATCATCATCATCATCATCACCCTCACCCTCACCCTCACCATCACCACCATCACCACCATCACCATCCTCATCATCCTCATCATCCTCATCATCCTCATCATCCTCATCATCCTCATCATCCTCATCATCCTCATCATGATCATGATCATGATCATGATCATCATCATCATCATCATCATCACCCTCACCCTCACCATCACCACCATCACCACCATCACCACCATCCTCATCATCCTCATCATCCTCATCATCCTCATCATCCTCATCATCCTCATCATCCTCATCATCCTCATCATGATCATGATCATCATCATCATCATCATCACCCTCACCATCACCACCATCACCACCATCACCACCATCACCATCCTCATCATCCTCATCATCCTCATCATCCGCATCATCCTCATCATCCTCATCATCCTCATCATCCTCATCATGATCATGATCATGATCATGATCATCATCATCATCATCACCCTCACCCTCACCCTCACCACCATCACCACCATCACCACCATCACCATCCTCATCATCCTCATCATCCTCATCATCCTCATCATGATCATGAATTCATGATCATCATCATCATCATCATCACCCCACCCTCACCCTCAACCATCACCACCATCACCACCTCATCATCCTCATCATCCTCATCATCCGCATCATCCTCATCATCCTCATCATCCTCATCATCCTCATCATGATCATGATCATGATCATGATCATCATCATCATCATCACCCTCACCCTCACCCTCACCATCACCACCATCACCACCATCACCATCCTCATCATCCTCATCATCCCTCATCATCCTCATCATCCTCATCATCCTCATCATCCTCATCATCATCATCATGATCATGATCATGGTCATCATCATCATCATCATCACCCTCACCCTCACCATCACCACCATCACCACCATCACCATCCTCATCATCCTCATCATCCGCATCATCCTCATCATCCTCATCATCCTCATCATGATCATGAACATGATCATGATCATCATCATCATCATCACCCTCACCCTCACCATCACCACCATCACCACCATCACCATCCTCATCATCCTCATCATCCCCATCATCCGCATCATCCTCATCATCCTCATCATCCTCATCATCCTCATCATCCTCATCATCCTCATCATCCTCATCATCCTCATCATGATCATCATCATCATCATCATCATCATCATCATCACCCCCACCATCACCACCATCACCACCATCACCATCCTCATCATCCTCATCATCCTCATCATCCGCATCATCCTCATCATCCTCATCATCCTCATCCTCATCATGATCATCATCATCATCATCATCATCACCACCACCCTCACCCTCACCATCACCACCATCACCACCATCACCACCATCACCATCCTCATCATCCTCATCATCCGCATCATCCTCATCATCCTCATCATGATCATGATCATGATCATGATCATCATCATCATCATCATCATCATCACCCTCACCCTCACCACCATCACCACCATCACCATCCTCATCATCCTCATCATCCGCATCATCCTCATCATCCTCATCATCCTCATCATGATCATCATCATCATCATCATCATCATCATCATCACCCTCACCCTCACCATCACCACCATCACCACCATCACCATCCTCATCATCCTCATCATCCGCATCATCCTCATCATCCTCATCATCCTCATCATCCTCCTCATCATCATCATCATCGTCATCACCATCATCACCATCATCACCACCATCACCATCATAATCATCATCATCACCATCACCATCACCACCATCATCGTCATCATCATCTCACGTAATATCGATGTGATTCAAAATGTTCAGTTGATATCATAATGTATCAATGAATATCAATGTGTATCAATTAATGTCAATATGTATGAGCTAATATCAACTAATATCTAATATTTGATCTGTGATAATCTATCCATGTATCCATCTACTGTATCTGTCAATCTTCCCCCCCTCTCTCTCCCTCTGTATAGATTCTATATGCACATACTGGTACATACAATAAGCAATGCTATAATGACACATACACACATCATATAACCAAAAAATACGATCTATTCATATAGATCTATATAGAACATCGCAAACCATTGCAAGCCCTGGATTTTGGTATCCTGGCAAAACCACAACAGGATGCTCCCAGGAGCTCAAAGCCAAGGGACGCTTCTTCTGATACCGCGTCCACTGGCAGACCTCCTGCGAAAGCAGCGATCAGCAGTCCAATGAGCCAGAAGGAGACCACAACTGGCCGCTTCTGCACGAAGCCCTGGCGAAGGGTTTCCAAGTTGAGAACATCTTGCTATCTATTCGAGTCGCTTCGCGACGAGAACCGCCTGCACCCAGGATTGAGGATTTTGAGATCGATGATAAATCGTGCCTGGACCGTGGCAACGGCAAGAGCCGGCACATCCATGTTGATCCATTTCTGCAGCACTTCCAACTTCTCTTCACGACCTTGACTCTGTGTCTGATCAGCTCTCGCCAATGCTACTCTGGCTGTATGCCCCAATCTCATGCCGTCATTTTGTCAAAGCTTGGCATATCTTGGCATTTTTTCTGATTGTGGTTTCTTCAAATTTCTTCAGTCTCTCTAGCAGGCATGGCTCAGCTCTCGTATGCTGTTCTTAACACGCAGTGGAGCCCAGTGCTGACATGTCCCGTGGGTGCTCCTATCACATGTTCGGTCAGTCTGCTTAAAACTCTCAACCATCTAAGCCTTTCTAAGCGGTCCCGGTGACTCTACATTGCTAAACAGTGCTAAAAAATTGGCTCAAGCCAAGACACTATAATTCTCAAACTCTTCCCACTGCTGGAGCTCAAAAGTGAGGGGCTCCTTGGCAGCCTTGGCATCTGACATCTCTCGCAGTTCCTGGGCTGCTAAGGATGTGACACTCGCGTAGCTATCAGCCGTTTGAAATGGCAAAAGAGCTCTGTCTTAGCTGATCTGATTCACTCTGCTACTCTACGTTGTATCCCTTTTCCATGGACCAAATTGGCACCACATGAGGCCCCAAATACATCACAAGGGGGCATGATGCTGTTCTGCAGACGATCAAGATTTAGATATGTGGATCGAAGATGATTCAGTAGGATTCAGCTCCATAGTTTGCAGTACAGAAACCCTCGACTCCCTCGATCACCCTCGACTGTTTTGGAATCTTTTGCAGCTTCTTTGGCAAATGAACAGTGTTCAAAACACTCTCTCTCTCATTCCATTGTATACTGGTTTGTTAAACTATGTTAAAAGGAATTCCCATAGTGGATGGTAATCAATTTCAACCAGCCAGTATAATCCCAGGTGCAAACAACAGAAACTGCACACTGCTCAAATGGGAATTCCACCAGAAAGGCGCCATAGGTCACGGTTGTATTCCAAAACTGGTGAGTTGTATTCAGAAACTGGAACACTGTATTCGGAAACTGGGAGTTGTATTCAGAAACTGGAAAGCTGTATTCGGAAACGGGGAGTTGTATTCAGAAACTCGGAGTTGTATTCGGAAACTGGAAAACTGTATTCGGAAACGGGGAGTTGTATTCGAAACTCGGAGTTGTATTCGGAAACTGGAAAACTGTATTCGGAAACTGGGAGTTGTTTTCGGAAACTGGAAAGCTGTATTCGGAAACTGGGAGTTGTATTCAGAAACTTTAAAGTTGTACGAGTACTCGGACATGGCAAACTGTATTCGGAAACTAGACGTTGTATTTGGAAACTAGAAGCCGCCTAATATCGCCTAATCATTCGGAAACTAGGAGGAAAGGAGATGGAAACTAGGTCCACCACTCATACTACTGACCTAAATAAACCCGAAACATCCCGAAACCAACCCTAAAGAAACCCTAAACCAACCCTAAATAAGCGCTAAACCAACCCTAAACAAGCCCTGAATACATCTGAATACGACAAAGTAGTTTCTGAATATGACGCAGTAGTTTCTGAATATGACGCAGTAGTTTCTGAATACGCCAAAGATCGTCAAAGTATGTCAAAGTAGTTTCTGAATACAACGCCTACATACGCCTACAGTTTCTGAATCCAACGTCCAGTTTCTGAAGACGTAGTTTCTCAATACGATGGAGTTTCTGAATCCAACTTTAATCTCACCGACATGGTCAAGACTCAGTTTCTCCCATAATTTCAATGAAGCGCCGCAAGGGACAAAGATGTGACCGATTTCTGGCTACGCCTTCAATGCCCAGCATGTTCGTTTTCTTTCAGTGTTCTTGTGTGCATGTGCCGCAATGTCCTACTTTATGCAGTCTCTATGATATCAAAACAGCGAGGACAAAATCTTCAAGGGCATCCAGATGTCCTGACAAAACAAATATCCTGCGAGGTGTCGTTCATGATGGATGTTTGATGATTTTTGCTTGACCCTGTTGCCTGGACTTGAAAACTCACGCCAACACTGAGGAGTTTGATGTGATCATAGCGGATCTCCAGCAGCCACAACCCTTGCATTCTTGGAACCTGGAAAAAACAGCTTCAACAGAACAACACTTGACACTTTCCATGGCTATCATTTGCTATCTAGCTCTTCTTCGGCGCATTTTTTATCAGCACACTGAACTCAATGGCTTCACACTTGCCAAAGTCTTTTTGAAGAGCTTCTTCAGCTCTGTCAACGACTACTGTCTGTGCAATTCCTGGCGCGTGGCCCTTTCTTACATGCAAAAATGATCAAAGGGGTGTGATATTTACACATGTTTGCACGTTCATTTGTGACAACCTTGTGAGTCTCTGGCCCAATGCTGCCAGTCAAACCCTGCGAAGTCAGCTAAGTTGAGGGTAGCCAGGCATCGTCTTGGCTTCACGTCGGTCGCACAATGAGGATTGACCAGTTTGACCAGTTGACCTTGTTTTCTCTCTTGAAAGCAAATATGTCAATATGTTATGTGACAGTTAACTTTTCAGATTGCAGGTCGACTGCAATCTCCAACCCTGATGCTTCCTTCCCAGTTGTCAGGGAACAATCCTACACATCATGCACGAGAGAACCGTGCAGCAGTTGGACTGTCCAAATGATTTTGATATACTTTAAATGAGTTTGATGCATAAACCTTACAGTATAACTTTTTCCAATCTCGACTCTCCACCCATTCATCAGAGAGCTGCCAGTGGTGATCAGCGGTGTCTGTACCATTTACATTTCTGAGCGCTGAACTACTCTGGACGGCGTCGGTGAAGTCCTGGCTGTTGCGGCCGGTTGGCCTGATGGGCGTCGATGCGTTGATAAGCGGCCTGCGGCTCAGCGAAGGAAGATGTCATGAATGTCACACCGTCACATCGTCACAGTTTTCTCCAACAAATGGTCTGAGAATGCAAATCTGCAATGGAGCTGACAGTGTCACAGTGTCAGGAAGAAGCTATTTCTGCTTATGCAATTCAACGGCATGTCATGGCATGGCAGTGCCTGTTGGTTCATCTCTAGAGCAGCATGCCTCAAACACACAGGCGAGAACACGCGTTCGGAAGATGAACTAACTCTTCTGCGTTTGGCATGCGTTTGCTTTTGACTAAAATAAACGTAAATAAACTAATTGATGCTAATAAATCGAAAAACATCGAACACTTAAAATTGTGTGACAAACATACGTCTGCTTGCGAGATCCGCTCTGTTGCGATCAGCCGGGACCCCTGCTTAGCTGCTTGCTGCATTATCATGACTCCACCTGTCAGTACTGTACGAGGAAAAACCACAACTCAACTTGTGATACTACCCAGTAGCCGCAGTAGCCCAGTAGCAATGGTAATGCATCTTGCCTGGCCTCCGGCAACAACTGCATACCTTGATCGACCGAAGGCTGTCAGGAAGTATGTCTTTGTAAGGGACAAAAGACCCTTTGTGGTGTTCAATTCGCTCCTGATACGGTCCTGGCTGAAAATGGGGACCATGGACCATGACAGGAATTAGCATGGTCTAGCAGCTAGCAACCATGTAATTGATTGTAATTGCGGGATGAAATGCCCAACCCTTCCTCATGACAATAGTATTGAATTAGCAGCTGTCGCGACTTGTCCAGGGGCGCTGTCTTTTAATCGACATGGCAAATTGATGTTGGTTTGCCACTTTGCCATAAGTTTAAAGGTTCAAAGTCAAGCATAGTGCAACCTTGCCACAAGCTGCACAAGTATGTGCTCAGCATGGACAATCCAGCCACCTGTCTTGGAAAAGAAACAAGAAAACTGAGATCCGCTGAGATCCATGGAGCTCTAAGTTCTGGGGCAACAAGACTTTCTAGTATATTTATATAGATTTATATTATATAAATCAAAGACATGCACGTTGCGCACCGTCGCTAGCAAGAAAAATGCCAAGCCCGAGAAGAAGGATGCTCCATACGACCTAGTTCGAAGGCTTCAGTCAGAGCGAAACAGCTATTGGCAAGGCAGCAGGCAAGTGACCGTGTTTCATCGCGTTTTTGCACAAAGCCAGACATGGGCCACTTAGATAGCCACACTGGTTTGGCGTGCTGCTTGCAGTGAATTGGTCCCGACAGAGAATATCACCAAGACCCCAGCACTATCAAGCAGTACATGTTGTACAGAAAGAAGCCTCAAACGGCGCTCGGTGTGTCTTTTGAATATAAAGATCTTGAGAGATAGTGTAGCAATCATAACATGTCAAAACATTCAGAACGACCTCCACCTTTGTCCAATGCTCTGAGTGCAAAGCCGAAAGCACCAACGAGGCCAAAGGTCAAATTGGCCAACTGGAGTGCAAGGTGAGCTTGCTCAACATGTCCAAACAATTCCACACAACTCCAATGTACCAAGCTCAAACTACAAAAAACACACATAGCTTGTTCTGGGTAATGATGAAACTGTCATGAACTGTGAAGCTTCAACGGGTTATCAAAGATAAACAACAGTGTTTCAACGTTTCAGGTTCATGCTAAAAGGCTGCTAAGGGCTCCACATATTGGAGTATCCAACGGAAGATCATCACATAGATGGACTCCTCGCGTGAGCCAACTGAGAACAGCACCTCGGTTCAACTGTACAAAAGGCAACTTCGAAATACTTCAATCAAGTTGTTTTATGCCATAATATGCTTTACCAGGTCTAGGATCAAGTACAAGACTATGAGCATCGAATCCATAGATTTCCAACGCCAAGCACATGTCTGAGCCCAGGTGCATCGTAAAACGTCATCCTAGATGCAAAGTCTTTGCCTCGGGCTGCCGGCATCGCTGATTGACCACTGGCCAGGGAAGTCATCAACTAACAGTAATTAACTATCATTACCACAGGCAAATCTTAGCATGTTGTTATATACTGTTGCATCTCGTCTCCATGTCTGCTAATGTGTAAACTTTGATTCTTACAAGATCCTTCTTGCTGTCCAAAAACTTCCCTTAAGAGAAACTACGCACAGGACCCGACATGGCAGTTGGACATTTGCTCCGGACACTTCATGTACGAAAAGCCGAAGGTCTGAGATTGAATTAGAGTTTATATTTGGATTTTCTGACAGCCTGCTGTGGAAGAAAACCTGAAAGCAGTAGTCCAGACTAGAAAAACGATTTATATCCGCGTTGTGACGCTGCTTTCAATGGACTCAAGGCAAACCCCCTGAACTTCTGAGCGAGTCTAAACACCGAATAACATCTTCTCGCTATGGATTTTCCCTGTTCTGGATTCCCAAAGTGATCAAAGAGTAAACAACTCGCCCGTACAGTTGTCTTGCGTGTGACATTGTTTTTTCAGAATTCACTTCTGCAAACGAGTCAAAGTCCAGGCTGCCAGATTGCCAGGCCGACCAAAAACTTCTACGAATATCCTGCGGTGCCAAACAATGCCAAACATAGATGAAACATGATGAAACAACAGCATGGATTCACATCATGAATGACCTGCACCTTAGTAAACCATGTGCAAACCAGAAGTGATGCTAGAACAAGAACAACATAGAAAGGCAAACCAACCTTTGGTGGTGGACGCCGATTCTTAGCCTCTAAGCCTCTAAGCCAAGACCTGCGGTCTGAGGTGAAGACTGTACATCACAGTATAAAATGCAAACACACGTGTATATACAAACATTTATATCTAGAACCTAGAAGGTGATTTCGACTGATTGCGAATTCTCCGAGCGTTTCCTCTTCTATTTATGCCACTGTGATGTCACTCCTTGACACCATAGGAAGACCAAATGCCAACTTCACGTCGACCCTCTGAAAGCACCCAGTCTCGATGATCTTGGACCTTGGATGTGTTTGCTGAGCATACGAAACAAACATCGGGCCATGGATGGCCATGGGGATCTCGCATCCGTCGGCCATCTGGCTTTGGCCAAGGCACTCTCTTGACTTCAGCCCTGGCCATCTGCACCTGCCATGCGGACATAGTGTGCCTCTGATTGCCAACGGACATCGAGTCCCTATGTCGCACCCTTACAAGGCACAAACCCGTTCCCCTCCAACAAACTGTAAATTCAAGGTCCAGGTTGTGAAACATAAAATATCATAAACTTATCTTTATTCGGGCTGAACTTCCTTTTCAACCTTCATGGTGAATTCATTATGCAACTGATTGAGGCGCATACATACACACATACATCCATACCAAACCACGCATTACATACCATACAGTACATACATTACATTACATTACATTACATTACATACCATACATTACATACATTACAAACATTACATACATGAATTACATACATTACATGCATTACATACATTACATACATTACATACATTACATACATTACATACATACCTTACATAGATATTACATACAAAACAGAAGAAAACAAAACATACCATAACATTACATAACATAGCATACCATAACACACATACACACATACATACATACATACATACATGCATATATACATACATTCATTCATTTACATTACATACATTTACATTACGTACATTTACATTACATAACATAACAAAACATTACATTACATTGCAATACGTTACATTGCGTTGCATTGCATTACATTACATACATTAGATACACACCATGCACCCCAGACATACCATACATACCATACATAGAATACATAGCATACATAGCATACACAGCATACATACTATACATACCATGCATACCATGCATACCATGCATACCATGCATACCATGCATACATGCCAGACATACCATCCATACCATCCATACCAGACATATCATACATAGCATACATAGCATACATACCATGCATACTGTACATACCATACATACCATTCATACCATGCATACCATGCATCCATAGATACATACATACATACGTACGTACGTACATACATACATACATACATCCATACATACTATGCATACATATATACTATGCATACATACATGCATCCATACATACATACATACGTACATACATACATACACACACATACATACATACATACATACATACATACATACATACATACATACATACACGCATACACGCATACATACATACATACATACATACATACATACATACATACATACATACATACATACATACATACATACATACATACATACATACATACATTGATACACACATACATAACATACATAACATACATAACATACATAACATACATAACATACATAACATACATTTACATGACATACATTACTTACATTACATACATTACATAAATTGCATACATTACATAATTTACATACATACATACATACATTACATACATTACATTACATACATTACATACATTACATACATGCACACATACGTGCATACATACATACATACATACATACATACAGACAGACAGACAGACAGACATACAGTCTATCACTGATTTATCCTGCATCTTCGTTCTGGCTTCTGTGCCATTTTCACTTTTTTACATCATTGCCCTCGTCCAGCTGCACGAGCTGCTGCCCTCGCGACTGCTTTGGCCGCGCCAGCGGCACGCGTCGCAGCACGCTGCAGAAAGGCAGAACGCTCCAGGGCGCCAGCGTGGGGATCTCGGTCCAAGTCGTTCAATCCAGCCTGTAAAGAAAGCAGAGCAAGTAACATTTACATGTGTATTACATGTATATTACACTTGAGAGGGGGAACACGAAAGGTAGGTGATCAAGAAGGGGAAGCAAAGCCTCTCTTGTGCAAAAGTTGGCTGTGTGTAAACGCGTGCTGTGTGCACAAGTTTCTGCGTGCAATTTGTGTCTGTTTAAATAAATCTGTATGTAAAAGCGTCTGTATGTAAAAAATATTAAAAAATGCTGTGCGTAAAACCTTCTGTGCGTAAGACTTCTGTGCGGAGAACGTTCTGTGTGTAAAAACCGATCCGTCCTTCAGTTGCATGGTGTTTCGGTGGCGAGGCCAAGGTTTTGGAGGCTTGAAGGCTGCAATTTGGAGCTCTTTCTTGTCGGTTCAGAAAGCAACGTTGGGCACAGGCAGCCGCAGGCCGAAGGCCTGGTCGGTCCTTCAGTTGCATGGTGTTTCGGTGTGGTGAGGCCAAAGTTTTAGACGCTTGAAGGCTGCAATTTGGAGCTAGTTTCTTGTCGGTTCAGAAAGCAACGTTAGGCACAGGCAGCCGCAGGCCGAAGGCCTGGTCCGGTGGTGTTCGGTGTGGCGAGGCAACGGTTTTGGAGGCTTAAATTGAAGGCTGCAATTTGGAGCTAGTTTCTTGTCGGTTCAGCAGTGCCCACCAAAACCAAGCCATGCTGGTTAGGCAACAAATCTTCGTGGATGACGTGACAACTATAAATGCATTCGAAGCTTTTGTGATTTTTTTCAGTTTTCAAATGGATGCAGCAATATAGAGCAAGAGATTGACATTGTGCACTGGTGGGCGTTAACTTGCTTATATTCGGCTCCGCCGGCCCCCCACGAGTGGCTTGCCCCACGAGTGTCCCAGAGCGACTGGAGCTCTATGGTGAGGCGCGCCCCAAACCGCCGACTCCGACCCTGCCCCGAAAAACATCAAAAATCCTTCACTCTGCTGGGGGAGAACTTTTTGGACGGAACCCGGGTCGCTCATAAGCGTCTCCAAGAGCATTCCTCCCCGTTTTGAGGGTACCTAAAACTGGAAAAAAGCGCCGTTTTGACACATTTTTCGGACGATTTTTAGCTTTTCGAAACTAATAAAATGCTAGAAAAAATACAGCATTTTTGCGTTTTAACGTCTTTTGCGGGAACAATGCAAAAACGCAGAAACTGCTGTAAATACCAATACTTTTTAAACTAGAGATGCACAAAACACTGCAAATACCAGTGTTCTTGGAAGCAAGGCCAAAAAACACTGTAAATGACAACATGTTTGGCCTTTGAAAGTGGTGCAGGATTTCTTCCATCAACAGTCCTGAAATTTTATGTGCCTGGGTGAAGAACTGCAAAGAAGCAGCGGGCAGAAGCTGAAGGATGTTTTGGCCATATGCATTAAAATTAGCCTGTCAGATCATTAATGTTTGAATTAAAGATCATAGAGCCTGGTGTGTTTAAATTTGACTATATTGCAACACAAGCTGGGCAAAGCAGCGCTGGCATGCCGGAAAATGGTTGCCGGACCAGCAGGGCAAGTTGATCGCAAAAAAATGCTGGTACAATATTTACACAGTTTTTGGAATGTCAAGAAAAAGTGGAAGAAAAGTGCAGAAAGCACAAACCATTTTTAGCATTTCATGTAGCATTTGATTTCATGTGCAGATAGATTTGCATGCATGTTCAACTGTCCAGATTTGCAGCACTGCAGCTGCCTTTTTTCCAGCTCAAATTCGAAGACTTTCGAGTCGCCGACGAAAAGAAGGAGAAGGTGCGATCTTTGGAGGACGAGGCTTGGATTTGGGCACCTGGTGTTTTCCAGGTTATGAGCCCAAGGAGGCCACTGAAGATCTCCTTTGGTTAGAAGTTTCAAAGAGGATTCAAAGGCAGAAATGGCAGATGTTAGGAGGAGAAAAGCCACCGCCCAAGAACTAGAACAGGGTCAGGAGGAGATCAGGTTGGCTGATGCAAGGTTTCGTAAGGAGGCTGTAGAGAGAGGTGAAAAGGCACTAGAGGATGGACCCGAAAAAGGGACTAGTGAAGAAGCTGAGGCTATGATGTCCCCACAATTTGAGGATAAGAGGGATAGTAACCCTAAGGGTACCCCAGCCAGAAGTCCAGACGAGGGTTCAGCCAGCAAGCCACTGCAGCCGCCCACTGATCCGCCACCTCAACCACCTGAGCTGGGTAACGGTGACACCTCCTACGGCATGCGCGACCAGAAGATGAATGAAAATGTGGAATCAGGGTCTTTGACTGCGGAACGACCTCTGAGGAGCGAGATGGCAACTCCTGGAGGACCGATGTCAGAGGCTGCAACTCCAGGAGGGTTTTTGGGTCCACAAGTTCCGTTGTTTTCAGAAGAGCAGTTGCGGAATTTTGCATTCATTCATAGCCAAGCACCATGGCTGTACGGAAACCCACAGTCCATTTTCACTGGTTCTGTTCCGCGTCCTACGTTTTTGGATGTTGACGCCCCAAGAGTTGCGCAGAGTCAGATGGAAAGAGATGTGGAATTTTTGAAGTCTCAGATTGCTAGGGACAGAGATGAAAAGGAGGAATTCAGAAAACAGATCCAGTCGTTGACAGCAGAGAATCAACGGTTGAGGTCCAAGGCGAATGGTGATGAGAAAGTTTCCAAAGAAGAAGAACTTAGGTTTTCTACTCCTGAGGAACAGACTTCGAAGCCGAACTCAGGTCATCCGGAGGACGATCAAGACTGGCTGAGGCGACGAAGCACTGAGAAGACCGAAAGTTCCAAGGAGGCTGGCAGACCACCATTCCTCCCTGAGGCTGCAGAGTTCAAGGAGGCTGCAGACTTTAAGACCCCCAAGGAGGCTGAAAGACCCCCAAAAGGGAGAACTGAGGATTCAGAAGAAGGTGCGCAGAAGCCGAGCTCTGGTCGAAGTGTGCCCCAGTCCGGTGAAGCCACGTTCACCGAAAAATCCATTGAATTCATGATGATCATGATGGAAACCATGAAGGACTTGCAGAAGAAGGTCAGTGAGTCGAAGGAGGAATCAGGGATGGTTAGGGGCGTCGAGATTGTGAGAACCGGCGTTCCTGATCTGCCAACTCTACAACCCTGGACTCCGAGTCAAGGACCTTTACAACTTAGAGATTGGCTGCTGACAGTGGAGCCAATTGCAGCTGATTTGTCAGCCACATCGGAGAAGTGGTGGGCATTGATGGTGAAGTCGGCGGAGGACTGGTATCAAAGACATATGGCCATGTCTCCATTGGACAGAGTTCAACACGATGTCAGACCACCGCAAGAGGTGAACTTGGAGAAATGGTCGAGATTGGAGCGACGGATGGCATCACTTCTTCTTCAAGCAGTTCCCGAAGTGGTGAAGGA